TAAAAAAACAATATTTCAAATTTAATGAGATGAGAGAGATATATGATTCAAATTTTAAAATATGGCTATAAACCAAAAAATAGTTCAAAAACCATTTGGCTGATCAGCTTTATACTGAGCTCTTTACTCGTATTATATATACATTACGGATGTGAACCTGATTTCTACTGCAAATCCATAACTATTTTGGATCAATAATTCAGATTAAAGGACTCTACTGATGTTGCAGCAAATAACAATATCTTATACACGCACTCCCAAGAAATGAAAATCGGGTGTTCAACTTCCATGTTCAGAGCAAAGGGAAGGGCAGAAGTCGAACTGAAGAAAATGAAGCAAAATTTATTTCACCTGCAAAATATATAAATTTTCAACAAACGCAAAGGAGCCCTAGAGATAAAGATTTGTGTGTTAAAGGCAGTAACCTTAAACCCAACGATACATAATATTAAAAGGATGGAAGAGCAAGGTGAAATCCAAAAGCCAAGAACAAAGCAACATAACAGACCTTATCAAACTCAACAAGTGTTTCTTCTGTGAAGAATCTTCCAAGGGGTTTCCGCATTGTTAAGACCGTTAAGATGTGCAAACAATCCATCTACGATTTTCAACGCACATTAGAATTTCATATCCTATATATGCATAAACTCGTATATTGCTGTGAAATTATACCATTTTTTTATGAATACCATTCATGTTTCATCTCTACTAAGGCTAAGTGATCAACTACCACGAATCTCGATTATTTGCCGGCCAAATTAGTTTAAGTTTCAGGTTCAAAAACAACAATAAATCACAACCTTTTGCAAGATACGGACAAATTTATCGACAACATTCAAAATAAGAAAAATATAAAATTCTGAAAAAGACAGAGGCTATTCTGATATTACCTGCCATCATCACGCTCCCTTTCCCTAATTGGCTCCCTTTCCTTCACCAGCTCCCGCTCTCTTTCCCGGTCCAGCCTTGGCCGACTGCTACTCCTTGTTGACCTCTCCTTTTCCTTCTCCCTATCCCTCTCGCTCCTCTCCTTCTCTCTCCTCTCCTTCTCTTTATCTCTCTCTCTCCTCTCCTTCTCTCCATCCTTTTCTCTTCTATCCTTATCCCTATGCCCCTCTCTATCCTTATCCCTCGTGCTCCGCCTTTCTACATCCGGGTCCCGGCTCCGACGCCGTGAGCTCCGGTCCCTATCTCTGTCCCGAACCCTCTCCTTAACGCCGTCGCGTACTTTCTCTTCGCTCCGGGATTTCTTACTGCTGCTCTTCCTCTCTCTATCGTCTTCATCGGCAAGCTCGTCGTCTCTGCTCCTGTCTCTTCTTCTGTACGCCTTATCACTCTTCTCTCTCTCATTTTCCTTGTCGCCGGCGCTTTCCTTCGTTTCAGTCTCGCCGTTGATGTCTTCCACAGCTTTCTCCAAGTAGTCGTACTCGTCGAAATCCATCGAATTCGGGTAACTGAACCTGCCAAAAATCACACTCAATTTCCCGCCAAGAATTCCCAGGAAAAAATGGAAAATGGGATAATACTCAGTAAACCCTAGATAAAATTAGGGTTCTGAAAGGGGAATCGCCGATGAGCTGATTGGAGAAGAGAATTGAACTGAATTGGGCTTTACGGAGTAAACTGTTGTTGGGCCTTTTATATTGGGCCGTCCAAATGACATTTTAATTGGGAAATTTACAGTTTTCACCCCTCAAGTTTGCAATGATTTCACATTTGGCCCTACATCACAAAAAAACACATTTGGTCCCTGATGTTTCAATAATTTGACACTTTTGGTCATTTTCGTCAATTTACCCTTAGTCCGTCAGTCGCGGTAGTGATGGGAACATGTTTGATTCCGTTAGTTTTAGCAGAAAATTGAGGAAAATGACTAAAAGTGTTGACTTTTTTAAACATGAGAGACCAAATATATTTTTTTTTGAGTATGAGAGATCAAATGAAAAATCAGTTCAAACTTGAGGGCTAAAAACTATTTTTCCCCATTTTAATTATATTACATTTATATTTCCCACAAATTTCAAATTATTTCTGGAATGTGTATTAAACTATACAATCGTCGCTTGTTGATCAATCGCTAAAAGCTCGTTCGATTTTAGTTCGTCGACATAATAAACATTCCTTTAATAAGTAAAGCTCGACTCAAGGATCAACTAGAAAGGAAAAAAAGATACGTATATGATTCATGCTCGATTTGATTAAAGCTCAAAAAACAACTTTTGAAACACGATAAAGAAAATAAAAATTCGAACGAACTCGAATAAGTATACTACAAAACTAACAAGCTTTCAAATATACCAACAACTATAGGTTACATCATCTGTACTCATTTCCAGCATCACATTGAATACAAAACAATGGTGAAGTACAAGATTTATCCAACAAGGTACAACACTTTTCTTCACATTCTAGTTTAGAACAAATGCGCGTTTTAATCTCCGTTTTCTTGTTTTAATAGCCTCAAACAGCTTCAACTCCCGATTTACATATGGTGACCATCATATAAGTAAATGGTAGAATTCACGAGATAAAAACCCAATATCTGCTTTCTACATTAGTCTGCCGAGGGGAATTCTATCACCTTGTCGAGCAACTCTTTGAATTGGAGAGATTGGAGTGATCCTTTCAGGCATTGTCATACCTCCAGAAACGATAATTTCTGGAATTTCACTTAAAATGTTAGGTACAATAGAACGAAACTTCTGGGGCAGCACTCGAAAATAGTATCCAAAAACAATGCTAACATAGCTTTAAACACAAATAGAGTATAGTACCTATCCCTTCTCGAATAGAGAGATTGGGTCTTATAATCTCTTTGGAATTAACCAAGAATATATCGCCAATATACAAGTGATTTGTTGGGACGAAAACGCTGCATAACTCTTCATCCCCGTCGTCTCTCTGTATCAGAGGAGAAAAATAAACCAATAAATAGAGTACAATACTATAAGATGTGGCAAATACTAGACATACGGAAGTAATCGCATTATATTTATATATATAATTGAGTAGGAGCTGCGACCTAGTTTCAGACAATTGGTTTTCGTTCTTTCCTTTTCTGGTGAGGACAACAGTTCATGGTATATTCCATCCTATACCCGTAAAGAAATCCAGGATCTTATGGGTCCAAACCTGGTACTCCATTCTACAGTTCGTTTACCCATGGCTACCCATGGCTTTCTTCTCCATTTTCAGTGACCAAAAACAATTTTATATTTTTGGAGAATTATGTACCTCTTAGCTACATATTGTTTCATTAAAGCCTATCTAAATTAAACTCGGGTATCTGACTTTGTTCGCAAACTAGATATAAAAATCATAATTACATTTATATCATGTAAAAGTAATATGACCGTAAGAAAAAAACTTTGGAATAACTTATTCTTTTATTTTTCTTTTAAAGTATTACAAGTTAGTCTTTGGAAGGTCTGTCTTTTTCATGTAATACAGGGACAGGGGGGTAGTTTTCGTAAAACTATAAAATGTATACATAGAATTAATAGTGTATAATTCAGAAGCAAACATATTAATTGTGATAAAAATATTAGGAATTCATTCTCTCCCACCAGTGTGATCAAATTTCAGAGTTCGTGTTTACATCTATCATCTGAAATAAGTATCGACCTCATAAAAAAAAAGAACACGACTGCTGTATATGTTGCCGACATAAGGCCCTAGAGAAAACCAGAAAAATACCTGAAGGATAACTGATGAAGTGATGAAGCCAAATGCATATTCACCCACACGTGGGTGACTTATAATTGCCACTTCCTTAAACGCAGTAGTATTTTGATCTGCAGCAAATACAAGTATAAATTTCAAACAGAAAAACGAAACCAAATAACCGGCATTTGAGAAAAAATTACGTCTTACATGAACACTCCTCAGACTCACCCCATCTCAGGGGGTGCGTGAATTGATAAGGTTATCCCATTTTCCTAGCTACAAATTCAATTATGTGTCTCCAACTATAGACATTATACTTAGCATATATGCTGATATTAGATTTTAAATTCCGTCCAAGTATAGTTCATAAATTAGGAAGAATGTCGTCTTAAGATATGAATCACTAGTCCACAATTAACTGGTTCAGATTTGAATGTTTTGGAGCAAATGAAGGTTTTAGAAGACTATGGATACACAACTACACTATAGTTCACAAGGGGTAACTAATGTAATCCGTAAATCCTTTCTCCATGTCAGAAAAAGAGTAAACAGCTAACAAAAAGTATAACATCAATCCAGGTATATTAGGTGAGGGAGTCCCTAGCTTATAAAGGGAACGGAACATAGAAATATTTGTATTTTGAATCACCCCAACTCGTTAAATATATTAAAAAGAACTACATAAAAAGTCTTATCTCTACCTGGAGAAATTGCAGAACTAATTTGCTTGGAGGCTGAGTAAATATGCTTAACAAATGGCATTCGCTTTATAAACCATTCTCCAATCCAGAAAACCGTAGCACCCAACCATGATGAAACAAATACGCCGACAAGGAATACAAAAAGTAATGACGTAATAAATCCAAGTCCTGCACCAAAACAATCGACTCAAAGAACATACCAAAATACTTCTAACACAAATACAAATAGGAAAAGGATAACCAACAATGAATTCAGTTAAACGAACAAAAGAGGAATAAAACTACTTGTAAGAGAAGAGATACTACTCATGAGACAAACACAGTGTTGAAATTTTTTAATCTAATTAGCATCTTGAAGAGGAAAAGGAAAGTGAAAGGGAAACAAGAGCATACTAACCTGAAACGACCTACTAACTAGATGTATAAATAGATTGAGACATAAGCAAGGTGTATGTATATAAAGCAACAACTAAATAATCTGAGAAATTATTTTCCAGGTGTATCAATTTCAAAATTTAGAGAATATATAATATATTAGTAGGCAGTCGGCACTGCCAAAGATAACAGGTGGCACTCTGATGTAATTTCTTTTCAGAAAGTCCTAGATCATTACAATAACCTAGTTTTTCTGTTCTTAACTGACTCGATCGTGACATGCAAAAATTCTGAATTTCAAAATATAGGTGGTAAATGGTACTTTACCGGTGGAATGCACAGACAAATAAACTTACCAAATACGTTAATGCCCATCTGAGCATACAGAGGACTGAAGAAACCATCCACAAACTGAATGAACCACCAAGTCACAAAAAATGAAACAGCAACTGGAAATAGGACTACACTGCAATTATAATGTTTAGTACAATGTTAACTTAACCTGACAACTTCAGATAAATATAAGCATATTTAACAGAAAGATGTAAGGAAATAAGTACCATCCGGTCATGAACTTTTTGGAAACCCAACTTTGAAGAACAAAACAGCAAGCCTGGACAACAGAAAACAAGAGAAATTTAGACATCAAAAGAAACAACTATGAAATGCAGAAGGAAAAAAATATATATCTGAATGTCAATTTAATAGATTTTAGTCATTTAGCACATATCGTATTTTTGTATTTGTTATATTTATGGTTGGCAAAATGTGTTATTGCTAATTCTGTTCAAAACAATAGTTTCTCAGAAATTCACTCATATTATCAGAACTACAGGGTCCACTAATAAAATTATCTTAGATCTCAAATTTGTTTTAATACCAAGGGTGTGCATATTATCACGATCTTATCCATTAGCAGTGTTTATATGTGTTTTTTATCGTTTGTTTAATGTCCTTTAGTATTCCACGTGTTCTTTGTTTGGACCCACGTAACATGCGCGGTTTGTTCCATTTCTTCTGGCTGTTCCTCTTGATGCTTAAGCTGTTTTTCGATGTACTTGCTCAAAAAGATTGCAAAATTGACGATTTGCCAGGTACAAATAGTAGTTACACAGTGGCAGGTTTTTTTTCTCTTTTTGTTTGGAAAATCCTCCTTAAGTTAAGGAGGTTCTTCCATAATTGGATGTTCTACTTTAGTGTGATTGACAAAGGCTGGGCTATGTTTTTGCCATCTAATACTAAAGAACATTAAAACGACGATAAAATCGATAAATAAACACTCTAAATGGATAAAGTTTGTAATAGTCCTCGCAATCCAAATATTAAAGTTAGCACATGGTGATTATAATGTCCTTTTTAGTCTTGCCAACACAAGCAAAATCAGGACATCATAACATCTTTATCAGATCGTTATTTGGCATATACGCGTTCACGAATTCATTGTAATTTTGGTAGATTTTCCCCCATATATAGGAAAATGGTGAAGAAAACGAAATTTCCGGCACATGTTATCTTCATTTCTTTTTTCTAATAATAAATTTACTATAATAAAGAACTCGTTCGTTTGTCACTATTAAGTCCAATTTACTAAATAGTTTGGCTAGTACAATGTTTCGTTTCTAAGGTTCAAAATGACTCAAGCTCGCCAAAAAGGAAACGAAACCCGCAATTAAATGCTAATATTCAATTAAAGTGATAACGTCCCTCCTGAGTCCTAAGTCCTCCCTACAATTAATTAAGTACGTGGCGACTACAAAATAAAAATGACAATCTCATCCTAAATTATCGAAACAGTATTGAATTATCGACAAGCCGTAGACATTATTGAAAAATCACATCCACTACCAGAATTTTACTAATTTACAACTATATTATAATTCACATTACAAGCATCAAAATTAGGAAGATATCTATAGATCCATTTCCTACCTCTAATCTAGATCAAACAAAATTCAAAATTAGGGCATCCCAATTTTCAATTAATCAACACTTCAATAAGGACACGTTCTACAATAATTACCACCGACCATGCCCAACCAATCAATCATTTGTTAGAATCTTCACAAATGTCAATAACTCAGCTGATAAATCTACAATTAATATGTGCAATTATTGGATCACAGATCACATTCGATTATATGTAGAGAGAGAGAGTTAGAGAGAGAAAGAGAGTAAATGTATAAAAAAAACACCAACCCTACGAGTGGAAGAATCGGGAGAAATTGGAGGAGATTTTAACGGATCTTCAGGGTCTCGGCCTTCTTCCTCTTCGCCGACACCTTGACTCAGCGGCACTGAGGTGGCGTCCTTCTCCTCCGCCATTGTCTTTCCAAAAATAGCAATTTCTTCTGAATTTTCGTCAGCTGTTTCAATGGGAGGGGAATTAGGGATAATGAGAGAGAGAAATTGGATGAATCGATAAATATGGAGGGAACTATTTTACAGTTGTGCCACTGGCGTGGAGTATTGGGTGAAGAAGGTACTACTATTTATGTGGGAGGTACTACATGCAATGCAACTAGTCAGCACCTTGACCTTGGAATTATATTCTGTTTTAAAGAAATCAAAAATTAAAAAATAATAATTTTTATTTTTTTTAAACTAGCATTTTTTTCCCTGTGCGATGCACGGGATATTATTTTAAAAGTGAAAAAAATATCAATTTAATATATAATAAGAAAATATAGTATACTAACATAGTAAAATTTAATAATGTAGTATTATTCATATTTTATATAACATTACTTTTTTTAACTCTTACGTATTAAGATTTATAATCCAAATATATAGATTAAGATTTAACGAATCGAATTTCTATCTTTATCTCTTAAAATTTGAGATATATTGATGAAAATTTTATCTGTTAAAATTTGAGATATATTGATGAAAAATAGGAGATTGATAATTGTTGAAAATTATAGTTAAAAAATTACTAGACAAAAAATATTATAAATAAATAGTTACAAAAATACCATTAGATAGGATTATTCAGGATTTAGTTTCAATTTTAATAATTGTTAAAAATTATATTTAGAAATTAGTAGAGAAAAAAATATTAAAATATTTAATTACAGAAATACCATTAAGGTTTTCCAGGGTTGCCGAGCGTTTCTTTCTTTTATATATAAGATAGGTCCTCGCTCGTTCATTATTTTTCAGGGTGAAAAATTAATATAGGCCCATGGGATGGAGTTTTATTACAAATCAGCTCATTATTTAAGTTTTATTTCAAATAGGGCTACATAAATATGAATTCTCAAAATAATCGCCTCATATTTTGTCTAAGATTACTAGATAAGCCCAAGCGTTAACTTCAGTACTAGCTGACATTTGATTTTTTTTTTCTTCTTACTTGTTTTTCGTCGAAACTTTGATTAGTTGACCCATTATCAGTTGACTTCAGTATCGTCAAAAATCAATATTTTTCTCTTGGAGCGTTTGCCAAAGCACCGATCGACTAAATCATGTTAACCGATGTTCAAGTCAGCTAATTTTGATCTCCGACACCTGATTTTTTTATCATCTTTCAATAATATAACAAATTTATATATTATATAAGTTTTGTGTATTATCAAATTATCGTAAAAACCAAATATTATAAATATTTTCATTTTAATATATTCAGTAAAAACATTGATATAAACTATATACATCAATAGCTATTAATCTCGAATAATATAATGAGAGATCGAGGTGTCGTGATTTGGCTATTCTAAACCAATCAGTTGGCAAAAGAGCTTTGCAATGAACCATGAGACAGTATAGTAATCCAAAAAAATATTAGTGACTTGTTCACCAAATTATAGAGATATATGAACTTCCACCTCCTATAACATTCACATTTTACTTACATTTTGGAATGTCCTTAGAACTTTTACGAGATCCACTAAAGCTGTAGGATTGCAGAGATCTCCACCATTCACAATGAGGTGGACTAATATAAATAAACGTAAGATTTTACTTGTAGATCAACCATACAAACTTATAAATACTTAGAGTATGTTGCAAGATAATGTAACTATCTTATCACTACAATCATCACTTATAAATTTCAAAGCGAGACAGCTCCAGAAGACAAGTGAATATTCTTGTAGGAATAAAGATAATTGTATAACAAAGAATATTTGGACAACCATGACAATATACTTATGCACGTGAATGAGGCAAATCAGTTAAAATAAACGATGGTGGTAAAAGATATGTACCAATTGATCTTGCTGCATACACTACCAATAGTCAAACGATTATTGCCTTCAAATAACTAGGATCTTGTATGTATATGAATACAAACGATTATTGCCTTCAAATAACTAGGATCTTGTATGTATATGAATACATGTATACACATATTGCAGTACGAGCCCTTGCATGAAAATTGAAATATAAGTTCTCGAATAGAAATTGAATTAAAAATGGGTTGTAGAAGGACTGGAAAAATATGTAATGTATATATTTATTTATTCTTGAGTATATATTAATACACCGGGTTAGAGGAAACCCTAGTTGGCGAGGATTCGGATTTATTTAGGGAAAAACAAAACAAAAAAAGAAGTTTCTGGACCATGGGCCAATTGGGCCAACAACTTGAATTCGATTGGGTCTCGGGTTCGATTTTGGGTCAAATTCATATGTTGTTTTAATTATTTCCGACCTACTAATGTTACCCATCAAAAGACAATCTTAGTTATTTTATTTCAACTATTTCTAATTAAACAATAAGCTAAATTACAACCAATCTTAATTATTTTATTTCAACTATGTCTAATTAAATAATATGCTAAATTACAACCACTCAAGAGATATGGTCAAATTACGAAAAATCCCCTTTTATTTGGGTAATTACAACCATCCTATCAACTTTATATCTTCGTACACGTCCACCCTCACGGTGTCAAATTTAATGAAATCTTCTAGATTATATAAAATATTCTCAATTTTGTACATATTTTATCCCATTAGAACTTTACATTTGAAGCAAGATGATCATAAGATGTGTTTGTTTGGATTGTATATATCAGATTGTGGTACATCAGAAGCTGCATTTTTGCAAAAAACAAGTACGAACTAGAGAACATTCCACGGAATCTAGAAGATTATGTTGAATTTGACACCATAAGAGTGGACGTGTAAAAAGATTCATAGTTGATGAGCATTTGTAATTATCCAAATATATGGGGTTTTTTTTGTAATTTGACCATACCTCAAGGATAGTTGTAATTTACCCTAAATAATATAGTTGTAAAAATATTTTTCAATAATCAAAATCTATATCCTAAAAAAGAAAAAAAAAACACCTCATAAAGGGTTAAATACAGTTTACACCCCTAAAGTCTACCTTGTAACACCTATTCCCTTGAAGTATAATTTGTAACACTTACCCTTAAAAAATAATTTAATTTGTATCTTAAATTATAATTGTAAACCATAAATTTTTCGAATCTGTAAAACATAAATACAAGACAAGAAAAATATAGGAAACAAATAAATTTATTATCAAACGAAAGTGGATTACAATCTCCGGGAATTCCCCTGATTCTTCACTCCTATTATAAAATCGATTCAAGGGCTTAGAAGCTTTTTTTTTCTTGAATCGAACGAATGATTTCATATGACGAACACCTCGAATTCAAATATGTTATGAATCCGAGGCGGGGGCTCGAGACGTGAGCTTGAGAGCTTGTTTTGTGTCTTTGTGAGTCTGATTTTTTGCATGCACCGAAGGTCGTTTTTTATAGGCACGGGCTAGGGTTTTGACTTGTAGCATGGGTCGATGGACTTTGATACTTGCCATTTGATTTATTGAGCTAGATTCGAGCCCAATTAGATTATCCGTAAAATAAGAATTTACTTATTTAAGGATTAATTCATTTGTAAAGCCCAAATATGTTATGAACTTAGATTTGAGACCCAATTAATAACCGATTTATTTGGCCATTAATTGGTGAAATTTCGGTGTCAACAATAATATCTTAAAATTTTCTCTTTTATTGAAAGGAATAAATAAAATTATACAACTAAAAATATATTTTGACAAAGCAATATTTTAAAATTTAAAAATATTATCTTGCGTTGGGTACATATTTAATAAATAACATCTAATTATTATTGGACCAATTAATCGAATATATTCATATCGATAAATTTTAAGAAATCAATGCATAACTAATAACTAATAGTAATCTTAAGTATTTGACTTTTTTTTAGTTGATTAATTTCTTAAAATATTTTCATTCATTATTATACACTATATATTGCTTTTTAATTATTTTTCAATGATCTAATTTTAATTATTTTTCAATTTATACGATCCAATAATTATTAGATTGTTATATTTATTATGTTTTAAATTTTAAAATATAAAATAGAGTAAAAAGCAGTTTGCCCCCTAAACTATGGGCCGATTTGCACTTTACCCCCCAAACAAAAAAAAATTGCACGTTTTTACCTAAACTCGTTAATTCGTTGCACGGTGCCCCCTAAACTCAATTTTCCGGTCGGTCGATGTTTCTTGGGGTTGAAATGAAGGAGATTTGTGGCCCTTTAGAGCAATGAGTTTGGAGAGTTCGATGTATGGGTGCAGGCTGCGCTTCTGTTCTTTGGCGGCCGCCATTGACGGGTTTGGAAAAAAAGCTTGAAGAACAGCTTCTTTTTCCTTTATTTATTTATTCTTTTTCTTTTTTTTTTTCTTTAATATTTATTTGTATTAATATAAAG